AATATAGATATATCTATATATATAGACTTCTGCATATATACCTATATATATATAGATCTATATATATATACTGATTTATTGGCTTGTTTTTATTTATGCATGTCTGATCCCTGTGCTGCAGGACCCAGCCAGACTGCCAGTCCAGCTCGGCAGCCTGCAGGAAAACCCTCCGGGACGTCAGTCTGTGGATCAGACTCGAACTCTCAGAAGTATGGAGGACTGGTGCAAGAGTTCATCCGGAATGTCTGCAGCAGTCGCAGCCCGGGAGGAGTCGCTCTGCTTGGGGAGAAAGCGCAACGAGACCCCCTTGGCAGCCTCGCAGGTGTGGGTGTTTTGGTGGCGGTTGGCAGCATGGATGAACCCAAACCAGACTGCATTTCGGTGGGAAGCAATGACAACGTGACTCGAATTGTTAATAAGAGGTTTATGAGACAGACAGCTGGGGAGGAAATGATCAGCATCATGGGAGGAGGGAAGGAAGCAAGCATCGCTGTGGTTGCAGGAACGGAGGTGAGTTTTTGTTCAACGACGAAGCACCATAGTTGTGCTTTTTCCCTCCATTTTAAATGATAAAACTTTGTCTCACACCATCAAATCTTTGCAACCAAGACACTTTTCTGTTTCCCAGGATGCTCCTTGTGACTGCGCTGCCCAGTCCTCCTGCTTCCTCCGACCATCGAGAGCAGCCGTCCGACACTGCAAGCATCGTCCACAAGAGCCTCCAGCTGCAACAGAGGAGAAAGGAGACGAGTGATGCCCCAAAGACGCACATACAGGACGTTTACTCCCTACAAACACCACTGCCATGAAGATGCTTTCCCACACCTCTCCGATCACCAGATGTACACACACAACTGCTACCAGGGGCACTGCCAAACCTAACACACACACGGCGATAGCACACAGCACCGACTGCCTCACAAACCCACTGCCACCTGCACACATTCATAATCACACACACAATGACTCGTGATGCCAAGGACAGATCCAACACCATGAAACTACCAGCAGGACGGAAAACAAACACCTTCTTACTCTGAGGAGAATCAGATGAAATGAAATGATGTCTGAGCTGAATACACAAAACCCAACCTCTAAAATAAACTATTAGGTGCAGTCTGCTAAGTTCAGACCAGGCACCTTCTTGTCATCAAGAGCCAAGTCAGATTTACTAATATTCAAAGTTTTAATGGACTTTCGAGAACTTTGACACTAAGACACCAGAGCTGTAAAAATGTTTGACTTTGAGACAGAATCTCTGGAACTTCCTGTGTTTGAGATGTGATTTGATGGAAGGCTCGGATGCACCTACAGAGTAATGCACTTTGTACAAACTGATGCCGTGCTGGAAAGTCACAAGTCACAGCTACTTGGATTGTTTTGCACAACAACCTTCCAGCCTTGACTACACATCACAGACTAGTTTACATTTTGTCTTATTACTTCACAAAACGAAGACTGTGCACGACTAGACGTGTTTCATGAAGGGTGTGAGGATCTAATGGCTCCAAAATGATTCCATGCTATTGAAAGAAAAAATCTTATTAGCAAACCAAAACAGCAACAAACCTATTGTGGTAGTTTCATATAAGGGTTATTCAACTGGCGGCTTGAGGGCCAAATCAGGCCCAGGGGTGACCTCAGTTCGGCCCAGCAATGGGTTCATTTTTAAATAAAACTAGATTTTAAACCAGGGCTATTCAACTGGTGGCCCACGGTCCATTTCCGGCCCACGGGTGACCTCAATCCGACCCACTTCATAATTTATTATTTTTTTTGGTTCTGGGTTTGGATTTTGGGTTCTGTTTATTGCATTTATGATTCAGTGCAATTAAAATAAACCAAATTAAAAGGTAGCAGATCATTGTAAACTTTGGTTTATTTACATAATGATTTTAATCACTGGATGTCCGTACCCCGAGCTGTTGGCTTTCAGTAACTGTGGACCCCTGAGCAGTTTAGCTGAATAACCCTGTTTTATATAATAGTACATTCTGTTCCTTGGAGGATTTGACCACAAATCCAGGACCTTTTTAATAGTTTTGAAGCAATTCCTTGTAGAAGTAAGAAACTTGCATTAACAGCCTTTTTCCTCCTGAAACTGTTGTTAAGAATGAAAATTTAGGCTTGAAACTGTTTTATGAATCAGATGATGATAAAGTTCCACTGATGTCAAAATTCATCTATAAACCTTTGACTAGTAATTTGATGAAGACAAGTACAACTGCTCACTTGTTTGCACACGTTGGAGACTTTTCCTTATTGCTTGCAGGGTCTAACTGGGACCAGCTTGGCTAATTTACAGGGCATTGGTGTATTTATTCATTTAAAATGTAGTTTTTCAGTGTACCATATCTACTTGTTAGAGCGAAACTGAAAACAAAAAGTGCATTCCATTTTTGTTATTTGACTTTTGGGCCCTACTTTACACAAAAACTTGACAAGTGTCCATTTGTAGCCTTTATTATTTTCTTTAACAAACCGCATGAATGGATTCAGTATAATGTTTTGGCCCAGTGAAGCTCAAACACTTTTGCCATTATTTTGAAAATGAAAACTCTATTAAAGTATTTATGCTTTAGCTCCAAACCCAACCGTGCTAAATGTTTAAGAAATCTGAAAATGTAGCTTAAATGTCAACTTTTTTACAGAACAGAAGCATCTGTGATCGTTTTTGAGGGCATTTGGGTAATTACAGCATCAAAAGATTGACCTAATTCTAAAAAATTTGGAAAAAGTTTATTTTTTTAAATTAACTTTACAGCATTTCTACACAGCACACATTTCAGTTTAATGTTTGTCCGTATGTGTCACGTTAGGACCGACACATTTCTAATGATGCAAAGAGGTTTATGGTTGAGCTGAAAGGATGGAGAAACAAATCAAACTTCTCTCATTCATTTGCCTCCCATTCCATTGATGTTCTCAATAATAAACCAGTCAAAGTGCCTGTTAGATTGTCTGTAGGCTCACACTGAAATTGGACTCTATAAAACACTCAGACTTGTCAATCAGTCTGTAATAAAATTCACAATAACGTAAAGTATCACAATGGAGAGACAAAATGGTAAAGGAAACATTATATGCATGATGTTTTTACATTGATAATTTTAATTGTAAAAACTAAATTATAGGTTTTTTTTATATGTTGCTGATGTGTTAGCCTGTTTTCTTGTCTTGGTGCTACGTGGTGTAAAGACTAATGCACACCGTTTAATGACTCAGCAGTCTAAAACAGGGCATTACAGCAGCAGTTTGTGTATTTAAATAACACTCTGGGGAAAACCCACAGTCTCTACGCTGCTGTCTGTCTTGAGCCCTCACTGCTAGTCCAAAACCAATTGCATGAAACCAGTCAGAACCTCAGAATCCACTGGTCTGAATCCCTCAGGGCTGGACTGTCTAATTAAAGAAAAAAAAAAATCACAACAAGTAATTTTACCCAAGAGGTCCAATTTATTTAATTGCACATTACCGGTTATTTCCGACATTTCCGAGAAATAGCAGCTAGTACTGTTTTTATATATATATATATATATATATATATATATATATTCTGTTATATAAATATATATATTTCATGACAGAAATCATTGCAGTCTTGATATTTAATCTTGGTTTTGTTCTTCTCTGGAATAGAAAGTTATGTAGTTGCAGGTAAACAACAAAAATTCACTAAAAGTTGGGACTCCTGTCTTCAGTGAGAAGCTTCGTGTACCACCTGGTATCTTCTGCCAGACATATTGGTGTGAGGAAAGTTTGACACTCCTCAACAAAGAATTGGTCCAGCTGTGAGATTTATGGTGTTTCTTGTCCTTTTCAAGTCCTTCCATAGCATCTCGATGAAATTAAGGTCTGGGCTTTGGTTCGGCCGTTCCAGAACTCTCAGTTTGTTTGTTGTCAGCTAGTTCTTGGTGGATTTACTGGTATGTTTTGAGTCATCGTCATGTTACAGGTCTACTTCTGCTTCAGCTTCAGTTTTTAACAGATGGTCATATGTTCCACATGTTCCCTCTGAGCCTCAGTAGAATTCATAATGGAGGTGATTACTGTGAGCTGGCCAGGTCCTGTTGCAGCAAAGCACCCCCAAACCATGATTCTCCCACCTCTGTGTCTCACAATAAAGATGAGGATCTTTTCTCGGAATGCTGTACTTGGTTTATGCCAAACATGCGTTCTGTTATGGTGTCCAAATAACTCAATTTTAGACTCATTTCTTCAAATAATTTTATTACAGAAGTTCTGATTTTTATCCATGTTCTCTGGAAAACTCCACTCTGGCCTTTGTGTTCACCTTAGAGAGCAGACGTTTGCTCCTTGCACACCTCACATGAATGTTACTCTTGTACGTTCGCTTTCCAATTGTGAAGGCGACCACTTACTCATCCACAGTAGCAAGAGCCCGCTGTAGGTCACAGAAGACCAGAAGACATTCTAGGGATTTGGGCGATCTCTTTTAATGTCTTGCAGTTTGCTCTTCTCTGCTTTTGGGAGTTGTTCCCATTTTATCAAAGAGAAACAATTCAAAGACTGCTAAACTTAGGAATACAGACAAAGTTTCATGTCTGTTTTGCCACCTCTTCTGGGAGGACCCCAAGGCATTCTCAGTCCAACAGAGAGATATCTCTCCAGTGTGTCCTGGGTCTTCCCTGGGGTCTCCTCCCAGTTGGACATGCCTGAAGCATTTCCCTAGGGAGGCACCCAGGAAGCATGCTTACCAGATGCCTGAACCACCTCATCTGGCTCCTCTCGATGTGGAGGAGCAGCGGTTCTACTCTGAGTCTCTCCCGAATAACTGAACTTCTCACACCATCTCTAAGGGAGAGTCTAGCTACCCTGCAGAGGAAACTCATTTCAACCGTCTGTAATTTTTCCCATTTTTTCTTAATGCAAAAAAAAAAGAAGAGCCTTAAAAGTTATTCACGGAACAAAATACAATCCAGACAGGCGGAGTAGGAGCTCTGTTTCCACTGGTCTTGCCAATAATGATTCACTCGGCCCACAGTCTGTCCACCACAAAAAACGAACCACAATAATTACCACTGGCTCCATTTGTGGTTTGTAGCTGCACTGCAGACTTACAAAATCAGAAATAATAAGCCATTGCTATGTTTTCATTTGTGAAACCCTTAACATTGGATTTCATTTTAACTGGTGATATATATATATACATGTGTGTGTATATATATATATATATATATATATATATATATATATATATATATAT